GGCGGGAGGCCTGCTTCTCCCTCTCCCACTCCCCCTGCTTGTGTTCCCTCTCTCGCTGTGTCTCTGTCAAATAAATAAATAAAATCTTAAAAAAAAGAATAATTCCAAATGCATAAGCCAAAATGAAAAGACCTCAAAACTTCAAGACAAATAAGGAGCAACATGAACATCGGAGTGGTAAGTGCAGCTAATAAACCATAAAAATGCATAAAATGGAGCAAAAGACATTAATTGTTCACAAAAGAATCACAGATTTCCAACAAACAATAAAAGACAGCAAAGTAACACAAAACAGAGAGATAAAAACATGGTCTTACTGGTACGTTTGCTTCAGAACTGTACTTGAACAAATTCACTTACACATGTGCCCAAGTGAACAAGGATGTTTACTTGAGACACTGTAATCAGGAGCGTTCCACACATCAGAACTCACCCATCCATGAGGGACAGCTTATATACATGAGGATATACTGATAAAAAATGTCAGACAGCTGACAGAAATCAGGTAGAAGGAATGCTAATCACTAACAGGTTTCTTCCTCGAGCTGCACTGTGTGCTCGTGGGAAGAGGTGGGAGCAGATGCCCACCCATGAACAGCGCTCCGCCCCACAAGGCCTTCCTGAGTGCTGTCAGTTTTCCTATCATGTTTTCTGTTTTGTCTGAACCTCTCAATAATCTTTACAGTAACTGTGACATGTATAATTTGAAAAACAGATTAAAATATCAATAACTAACCCAAATTATTTATTATAAAATAACAAAAGAATTAGTTTACTGATTGATGCAAATATTCCATCTGACCAATTTGTCATTTGTAAAATTTTCTGATATATTTAGTTAATTTGTTTTATACTGGTTCCTTAGTTTGATCACACAATATCAGTTTACCTATTGCAGTAAATATATGCATATAATCAAATCAAGTCACAATTACGTGTTCTGATGGAGGCATACAATAACTCACATAAATTTAAAGAAAAGGTGATTAAGGGTTAATTACACCTGAAAATAAGCTGTATTCTGTCACAGCTGAATAACAGTGCATCTAATGGTTCTCTTCCTTATATGTTACCTTAAGGGCTGCCGACAGATCTTCATCAGTGAATCTGAGTAAAAGTACAACGGAAAATGCAAGCAATTGGTTTGCTGCCTCTTTCGGAAATTCAGGTAAGTTGATTTCCCCATGGCTTAAATGGTCTCTTATACGGGGGCCCTCCTGATGGTTTAGGAAATCCCAAAGAAACTCCTTTCAGAATATAAACAGAGAAAATATCTTGTTAGTTTTCTCAACTGAGGGAATAAAGAATGGGCCATACCTGACCTATCTAGGGAACAGCAGTGTCGGCTTACAGAGACCAGGAAACTGAGCTTCAGAGACAGTTAATCAAGGTAATACAGCTGAGGTACCATGCTGGATTGTCCCTGGGAACTCTAACTGCCCCCCGCCGCTTGGGGCAGGACCCTCCCTGGGAAGCCCCGGTCTCTCTAACTGCGGCCC